GATTGCCTTCCTATATGTTTATTTTTAGGAAACTTCTAGTGTATTAGGTTTCCATGGTACTCCTCAAATGGCCCTTAATTTTAGCTGTCTCTCCCATATTGCCTCCCCCTTCCTCCTCTCCTTGCTCCCCACTTGATCCTCTAGTTCCTGTCCTCCCCACAATCCATTCATAACTATTTATTCTATTTTCTTTCATAATGGGATCTGTCTGTCCCCCCAGTCCCTTACTCTATACCTTGATCTTCCCATTCCAGACCCTCCATCCAGTATGCCTGCCTGGTGATTTGAGTTAAAATAGCTGTCTCATTTTTTTTTCTGGAAGATTTTATTATAATATCAATGTTATTTTGTTTATATAATATTAGAGTTACTTAAATAGCTAAATATTTAAATATTTGGGAGAATACATGGTGGAGCCACCTGTGCATGTCTTTTTCTCTGTGGGAGACTTTATAATTACAGATTAAATTTCTAACTGATTTCAGGACTATATTTTACATTTCTTATGTTAGTTTTAATAAGTTATAGTTTCCCGAGAATATTTTCATTCGATCTAAATCTCTAATTTACTAGTATAACATTGTTAAATATTTCCTCCTGTGATATATTTGATACAGGGTCTAAAGTAGTATTTTCCTTTTTATCTCTCATATTGGTAAACATCCTTATGGGTTGTTAATCAATTTTCTTAAAGTCTTTTCAAAGAACATATTTTAACTCACTGTATAAAATATTCCTTTCCATTTTTAATTTTTGCTTCTTTTATTTATTTAATTCTTTTAATATTTCTTCTTTTATTTTTGCTTCCTTTTATTATGGGATTTGAATGTGCTGTTGTGTTAATTTATAAAAATAAATTTATTGTCTATGACTTCCCTTTTTAATATGTGCACACATATGTGGAGTTTTTCCAGAGAACAGCATTAGCAGCACACCCTGTCTCAGTGCTTTGACTTTTCACTGGGCTGTTTTGTTATTGCTTTGTTTAATTCATTCCTAGTGTCCTTTTATGATTCATTTTGTTTATTGGTATTTAGAAGTATATAACTGTTAAAACATTTTTGGGCTTTCAAGTTATCTCTTTGTTTCTGGCTGCCAGTTAAATCCTGTGGCTTGGTCTGTGTCTATAATTCTACCACCCAGGAAAAAAGAATATTTGAGTATAATTGCCACAGTAGTTGGGATGTTATTTGTTTTTGTGTGCGTGTACATACATACATATGTACCTTTAGTAGACCTTTAATAAGTCCCTCCTATCCTAAGACAACTATGAATGAAGGCTTTCTGCTGCCATGTGCTCTATCTTCAACCTAGAGAGATCATTGTTTATATTTATTTGACTCAATTTGATATGTTAGTAACTTTTGTGTTGTTATTTTGTATATGTGTATACATGAAGAAAGAGGAACCTTTTCCTAATTTCTAGGAAATATCTCTTGTATCTTACTGGTCAAAATTGTATGCATGTTGATCTCTAAACAAATTGTGGTGGCCATGAGGATGATGTGTGTAAAGCAGTTAACAGAATTCCCCAACACAACAGAACTAGTAGGATAGAGGTATATATAAACATGGGCCTGTATATACATATATGTGTGTGTGTGTGTGTGTGTGTGTGTGTTATGTATGATATGTAATTTAAGAAATATGCACAAGGTGTGGTTTAGTATGTAGAAATTTATGTAAAAATATAAATGAGTTGAATGTTTTTTATTTTTGGATATTAACTTTATTTTTAATTACGTGTATATGTGTTTGTGTAGGGGTATGCATACTTGAGTGTGTACATGAGTGCAGGTGCCCACAGAGGCCAGAAGAAGGTGTCGGATCACTTTGGGCTGGAGTTACAGATGGTTGTGAGCTGCTATGTGGGTGCTAGAAACCAAACTCGGATCCTCTGCAAGAATAAGTGGTTTTAACCACTGAGCCATCTCTCCAATCCCACACAAAATGTAGCTCACTCACCCCACCCCCTAGTGTGTGTGTGTGTGTGTGTGTGTGTGTGTGTGTGTGGTGCGGGGTGAAGAATTAGAAAGAATACTGGTGGGGGTTGGATTTACTTCAAGGAGTTTGCTCACGTAACTGTGAGGTCTGTCGTGTGTGAAATATGTTTGGCAGCAGGCTGGGAAGTCTCGGGTAGAAAGTAGTGTTGTAGCCTTAAGGCAAAATACCTTCATCCTCTGAGAAACATGATTCTTTGCTTTTAAGACATTGTAGCTGAGTGGTTGAGGCACACTTCTGTTCTTAAAGTCAATGTTCTTGACTTAAAACCCACTCATTGAAAAGTACCTTTTAGCAATACCTATACTACTGTCTGTTTAAATAGCCAGCCTGTCACATATATCATCAAATACATGGCAGTTTTTTAAAAATCTGTAGCTGAACTTTTGAGGTCCTATTGGAATGAAGAGTTTAGCACCTTGGCAGAGGCTAAAAGTGTCCCTAGAGTAGGCAGAGCTTCATGTGTGGGAAGGCTGCTGTGCAACATGAGTTCTGAACTTGAGTCACATACGCTGATACTAAAGAGAAAAGTTACAGAAGGAACTGCTTAATTGAAAAGTACTAATGATTTTTTCCTTGCTTTTTGCTTTTTATTTTATTTGGGCTTTCATGTGGTTTGGAAGATTTAATGTAAGGGTAACCCATGCTTTTACTCTGAGCTACCTCTCCAACTCTAACTAATAATAATATTCAAATATGAATTAGATTACTGGTGCTTACTGTAAATTAAGTTTCAGTATTATATATTCCTTGACATCTGGTGTAAATAACATATTGTAAAACATTATTTGGCACACATGGAGTTCAGTAGATAATAAGCATATTTTTCTACAGTTATATTAAACATTGAATAGTAATTGAGATAAGATAGCGTCAGGATTCCTTAAAGAAGCGAAGTACTTAGTATTTGAATTAGTGATATTGGATTATATTTATGTCCCTGTGTATATACATGTATATTGTTTCTTACATTTAAATACATGGTGATTACTTTAGTATATAAAAACACTTGTTTCTTAAATGTCCTAGCGACTAATTTCCCTTGCTTCTGTGCTCTTGAAGGTAAGATTCCCCAGCTGAACATCTGTTCTTTGCAGAGGGATCTCTTGGGCTCTATTTCTGCTTCCACTTGATCAGCAGGTTCAGTTCCCTATGATTTTGTACAGTTGTTCAAACAAGCCAATCACATTCTTCTGTAGCAACAAGGAAGCACTTTTGACAACATACAGTCTTCTTCTTATATCCTTGTTCACTTTGCTCCTGAGTGAACCCCCACATGCTCAAGCATGGTTTTGTTTCCTTGTATACAAAACTGGAAATTTAGATGTGATTAACTAACTTTACAATCTCACCCATATCCAGTAATGAGTGTTGACTGTTTGGCTATCTGTATAGCCTAAGGTTGGGATCCAGAGGTGATTCAAACAGAATTCTTCCCTTTTCTTAGCTCCAATTCATGATATTGGGGTAGGGAAAGATTCAAATATCAGCTGTTGGCATATATGACTTGTGAAATGTGTTTCAATCCTGAAATTTTATTTCTTGTTTTTGCTTTTCCAATACTATTTTATTAGCATTTATATTTTCCAAAAATGGGGGGGGTGCATTTATTTATATCTCTATCATCAGCTCCAGCCACATTGTTCTGTAAATTATATCTTTTCCTCTTAGCTGCTAACTCAAGCAACATAACTTACCAGTTTTCCTGTCCCCTTGTTATATCCGCTAAATAGCATAATCATTGGCAACCACAGATATGCAGTAAATATTTGGCATGCAATCCAAAAGAGTAATCCAGAAATTACTCCTTCATCCAGAATTGAGGAAAATTTACCAATGAGTTGTGAGTTTCCCCTTAAATGGCATAAATTACCTAAGTAAATGCCGTAAATGTAAATTGCCTAATGTTAAAATACAAGCCCATTCCATTCAACTTCAGAGAGAGAGAGTAAAAGCTTCTGTATGTTGCCCAATTTCTCTTTCCTCACTCCTCTTCCAAAAGGAATTTTAGTTGTCTTAAGGCCTGAAGAAACCTAAGGGCAGCAGCTCATTTTGTATAGGAAGCAGGATTGGAATAGCAACATAGTGACCTAAACGTCTTCCTGTCTGTTGATTCTGAATGCTTCATGCATACTTTGAAATTCTTGCTGGAAGCTAAAACAGTGCTTCTTCAGGAGTTGTTTAGCCTTGTCTTTATTTCATTCCTCAAGTATGTGGCTATATAATGCCCCTATCCTAAGTATAGAATAAACATTCACAGCAGTAAAATATGAGAGTGAACACATTTAACATTTTTTTCTTACTTCTTTTCATTGATGAGATTTATTTTTAATAGGTACATAAAAAGTACACATGTAAGTGGGGTAGTATGGAATGCCTGCATTGGGCAGTGTTTAAATTAAGATACAATAGCACATTGAAAATTCTTATCTGCTCTTTACCTGTGATTCTTTTTCTTCTTTTCCCAACTCTTTTCTCATCACTACAAGATACCATATTACCCTCAACTTTGAGATAAGTGTATTAATATTATGAGTGCAAGTTACGTATTACCTATATTCCTGTGCATTCTTAATTCACTTAACATAATGATTTCCAGTTCCATGTAACTGGATTTCATTCCTTTTATATGACTGAAGAGCATTCATGATGTGTATGCACACTTTATTTATATTCTTTTTGTTTTTATGCCTACTGTATTTGGATTTCCTTGGAAATTAAGTAATTCTTTTGCAAGAATGTCATGTGCTACTTTTTCTTACTCATAAATTTAAGAAATTTTTTAGAGAAAAGAATGAAAAACCTAGTCTGACAAAGGAATATATCTGATTTATAAATATATACTTTCTCAAAGTATATGCTAAGTAAATACATGACACTTAGTGTATTTATTTCAGGTAAATCATTCCGTGATAGGATGTACTCCCTTCCATTGGCCAGAAACTTGAAGAAAAACTAATACAGCGGGTCTTCTCTCTGTCTCTTGGGTTTATTCACAGGAAACAACTCCAAGCTATGTTGGGCCAATTCAGCGAGGCAGAGACTTTGTTAATAAAAGCTGGAGTGCAGCCAGGGTCTATTGATGGAGTTCTTTTTGATCTGGGGTGTTCCTCCATGCAACTTGATGCTCCTGAACGAGGTTTCTCCCTTCGGAAGGATGGCCCCTTGGACATGAGGATGGATGGAGACAGGTGGATATTGAAAAAGCATTTCTTTTTACCACAAGAAAATCAATTCCTTAGAAACATTCTGCATTTAATTTCCTTGAAGGCTGAAAAATTCCCAGCACACTCCCACATCCAACACTGTCCATACATAGTAAATCAGCTGTGTTTGGTACTCATTATAGACTTCAGTATTTCTTTGGCTTGGTATTCTAAAAGGAAAATATTTACTGTCTTACAGAATATAGTGAGGAGGTATTCAGAATAGGGAAATCAACTTTTATGTGATTTTTTTCACTGACAATATGGCTGTTTAGTAGTAATTTGGAAAAATTACTGCTGAAAACAATAGTTTTTCGTGCATGTCCAGTTATGTCTCTGTAAGAAGCAAGAGGAGCTGTACTTAATTGATATTCTTTATAATGCTGTAAAAACAAATCTGGCAGGATTCCCATGGTCAACAATTCTGTTTTTGTTCTGTCTCTTATGCAGTCACCCTAGTTGTGCCTTCTCCAAAAGATTTGCAATGTACGGCACTGCATCTCACATCACTACATAGCTGTACATCTCTACAAGGAGTATTACCTGTGACTCCTCTTCATTCTTCAGCGCTGTAGAAATACTAATGCTTGTTTACCATTATTCAGTTCAAATAAACACACAACCTATTTAATAGCATCATGTTGTACTATAAAAAGAGGAGGAAAATTTCCTTTTTCTACATTAATTTTAAAAGCTTAAATTAGTACTGACATCTGGACCTAGCAGTGGTACCAAGCCAGAGTAACCTATATCTGCAACACTTACCCTTGCTTTTCATGTGCACATTGTGTCATGCCATGAATATTCTGTGCTAAATACTCATGTATAGTCTCCTGCCTTGATATATGTGACTGCTTAATTTGCATTGTGACATATTTATTAGAATCCTATTGTTTCTGAATCCTCTGCCTTCTTCTGCTTGCATTATTGGCATTCATAGAACAAAGAATATTATGATATAATAAAATAATAAAGTCCTTTAGCAACTAGTGACTAATAGTGAAGGTCAGATATTCTCAACTTTAGAAATTAAGGTGATTATATAGAAATAAAATGTTGAATAAATTTATACTCTTCCTGTGTCTTGCTGTGGAAGATACTTTCTGTAATACAATGAACAAAGCTTCTAATTAATAGTGAATTACCATATTCTTAATGTAAAAGTTTCTTGGGCAAATTTTAATTTGTAATTCTGCATCTATGAGTTTCTCCACAAGAACTTCAAAATAAATTTGTTCCTGAGAATTAAGCCCTTAAGTCAATACCTTATGTTTGAACTTATATTTGAAATAATACATATATATATTTAAAAATTGAAGATCTTCCAGGTAAACAATATGGATTATAACCTGTTTGAGATATTCAGAATATGGAATTTGATTCACAAGTAGAAGGGTAGGCCATGGGAAAAAATAATATATATATGCACACACACACACACACACACACACACACACACACACACACACACACAGAGTTGTGATCTGTCAGTCCCCAGAGAGTGATCGATCCCTAGGATAAAGACACACAGGAGACATTTTCGCACTGGAGTCTCAACTCTGTGCTGACCTCAATTACAACAACCACTGCTTTTAGATTATATTATCTTATCATGTAACAGAGAAGAATTCCAAGCCTCAATGACTTGAAAGGCTAGTTCTGTGAGCAGATATACTCTTTGTTGGGAGATAATATATTGGCACTCAAGTTAAGACTTTCTCTTATGATGTTAAGTTACAGTAACTTTTCAGGGAAATCTTTGGGCTGACAAGGGTAAACTTCATGTTTTCTTAGAGGATCAGTTCTTCCTGGTCATCATATTAATGCCTATTCAAATGCAGATTTCTGGCCTGCTAGCCCTCAGAGTTATATTCCTTTTGTCTTCTAGCATTATGGAAACTCTATACAACTATTTCATGTTAATGTAACAGTAAAACAATATCATACCTGGTATCCATTGAATACCGCCTGATCAAAATGCTTCTTTAATTTTCGTGTTTAAAAGTAGAAGGTTTTGAAAACTAAATCCATCATCCGACTTATAATGGCCTTGATAGAGCTAAGGGTCTGAATTTACCATCATTAACAAGAATTGTCTCAGTGGACAGTGGCTTGGGTAACTGAATTCATAGGTATGTAAGATATAGCAGGGATTTTTGTCTTTTATGCTCAAAATGATGACTGGCAAATATATGAATTGGAAAAATCTGAAGGATATGAACGTTTATTGCCCAGTCATTATATTGTCTGTATTTACTATTTCGTTTGTGCCTCCTGTCTTAACAATTCTGATAATTGAGATAAGCATTGTTATATTCATTTCCCAGATTAAAATTGAGAGTCTATTGCATTTAAAACTTTATCCAATATAGCAAGACCACTACAACTGTAAAAGGAATGATCTTCATTTCATAAGCCAAAAAAACAACCCACTGAGATCAAGTTAGGGCTACCATATAAGACATTCGTTGATACAAGATTTCAAAAGAAAATGAGGCTGTCAATTTGAGGGGGTAGGAGGAGCTGGAGGGAGGAAAAGTGGGATGATATAATTTATTTCATATATAATATAATTATGTTTATATTTACTTAATTTATATTTAAGTATAATATAACTATATTTCAATTCAAAACATACATAAGTAAATAAAAGTAAGCCAAAACAAAATAAATAAATAAATAAAACCACCATACATAGAACAGGATGTTTCCTACTTCCTAAAACAATCAGAGAGAGAGTACGAATTTCAAAGACAGACTGACAAACAAACAGACATGCAAAATTGAATACAAGACAAGGATGAAAATTTCTCCTGAATGCACAAGCATGTTAACAAAGTAATAATCGTCAAAAAGAATTTTAGATGTTTTTGCAACCTCACTCTGGCTGAAACCTCAGGTCTTAATGCTCCCGTATCTTTGGAACTCACAACTATTCACAGTATGAAACTAATAATCCAACATATTTATGTGGGAGTAGTAGCTGTACTACTAGCAGATGTTCCTAATAAGTCGAGTCATGACTAGCTCATCAGTTGGAGTGCTTTGACCCATTTCTCTAAATGGAAATAAACTAGAATGATCTGACAGTGAACGCTATTTTATGCTAGTATAATTTAGTCTATGTGGTCAGAACTTAGATTTTCTTTTTGTGCTCCACTTGAAGGTAATATTTAGCCTTGTTCAATCAGTGCTGTTTGTTTTGAAGTTTTAATCCATGATGACCTTTGCCACTGATGACTGAGCTAATATCAAATATCCAATACATGCACAGTTAACATTAGGTCTTTTCAGTTCTTGTGAGGGGAACCTGCCCAGTGTCGTCTTGTGTAGACTTTCTAAGTTGGATTTTGTTATTGTTCCACATGTGTGTTCTTTGCTGGCATAGATTGATTTACTCACTAGCATTCAGACTTGGTCAGCTATCATCTGTCAGCATCATGTCTCCTCTTCAAGAAAGGAGTAATTCAATTAGTAATGTAATTTTTGAACAAGTTAAATCTAAACATTCTTCTGTTATTTTATCTTGAGAGAAAGCCACAAGATCAATATTAATTTTTTTATGAGTAAAAGTTAAAGGTTAACAAAATACTATAACTTCCTACCTTGACCTCAATGAATGTTTGATGTTCCTCTTGCCTTAATGATTACTATGTAAAACAGAAACTCTCTTTCATTTGTGTCTGTTTGAGAATTTCTTCTAGACAATGTGTTGAGAATGCCTGAGTTCGTATTCCCAGTACTCTGAAATATCAACTCTTGTCAATAAAATTGGTGTCAGGAAACTGGTTGGCTCTTTTTTGCACAGGTATCCTGACATGCCCACTGCAGCTGATGTTGTGAATGCTTTAGATCAACAAGCACTTGCATCTATCCTAAGAGCATATGGAGAGGAGAAGCATGCCAAGAAAATTGCTTCTGCAATCATTCAAGCACGCAGCATATACCCTATCTCTAGAACCCAGCAGCTTGCCAGCATTGTTGCAGGTACCTTCATTAATTCTCTTTAATGTCTAAGAGTAAAAATTAAATTAACATCTGTTACATATATATGTATATATATTACATATATATGTATGTGTTTGTGTGTGTGTGTGTGTATATATATATATACATATATATATATATATATATATATATATATATATTGTAAGTGTGTGTGTGTGTGTGTGTGTGTGTGTGTGTGTGTGTGTGTGTGTGTTCCTCCCTGTCTGGCTCCCAGAAAGATTCATTTGTACATGAAATCATTCAGAACAGCGTTCTTTATGTCCTTTTTTTGTACGTGAAATCATTTGTACATGAAATCATTCAGAACAGTGTTCTTTATATCCTTCTCAAATGTCAGCTTTCTTTTGTTTTTTTTTGTTTTGTTTTAAGCTTTCTCTCTCCAACAACTTTAATACCGTTCACAATTTTTAAAGATTATGTGCCATAGGTGGCTGATTAATATAATAGAAATTTTGTAAGTGGTAATTTATCATTTGTGCTGACCAAGGTAGAAGATAGAATGACAAGGTTTAAGGAATGGCTTGATCCATCACAGTGGTTGATAAGCATCCCACATGAGATTTGACATTACCTCTCATAGTTTCATATTTTTGCGTTTTCATATTTCAGGCAAAAGGAGAATTGCATTGCCCGACTGCTAAAATAAAACTCAATGACTCATACATCTATTCTAAACAATCAGCTAACAAAGGGTATGTGATGTATAGGTTATTCCGCTTTGTGGATGCTAACTAAATCAGCCTAAGGGACTTATTGAAACATTTCATCTTTTCTGCTGTTTGCCACCGTAAACCTCTTGAACCGGATTCTAGCTAGGAGGAGCTTTTTTGTACCCTTTCCATTTGAAGCCAGTGCTGTTTCACAGCTATGTTTTGATGAAAGTTTCTCAAAGCAAAAATGTAACTCCTGTAGTTACTTAACAGAATTACAGTGGTAAATTATTCATCTTGTTGGACCAACAAAAACGCTATATCATTTTTATATACCAAAAATATATTAAGATTGTTTTCACTGTTTCTTATTAAATTATGTAAGTAACAAGTAAATAAAGTACCCAGTATTGGCTAAGGCTATCATAATACTAGATGGAGTTTAAGGAATAAAACTTAATTATAAATTCACTCAAATCATTAAGCTGTCTTATAATAATTGCTTATGGCATAATTAAATATAATTAAACAATATTATATTTTATTTAACATAGTAAAGTATAAAGAATTGACTAAGTCTTTAATATTTCAAGCTGCCTTTGTCAGGCCCTTCACAACTTAATACCTTTTATTGAAGTTGGAGTAGAATTCACATGGGTTTTGTAAACGTACAGTATTTTAAAATTTTTCCCTCCAAAAGAGTTTATACTAGCATATTATCATGTAATAGATTCACCTTCTCTTTATATACATTGCCCTTCTTATTTTTTACTCCCCAGGCAACTCTGCTTGTCCTTGCTGTCTTTAAGAAGCACTGCATGCTATCTTCTATGAGAAATCATATTATTTATTCATAAGAAAACACGATTTTGTCTGGTACTGAATGAGGGTTTGTAGCTAACGAGCACCCTAGAGATTGTTCTGTTGAAACCTTTATCCAGTAACTTGTGTACCAATTCTAAAGAGGACCAGTGGTTTGTTCAAGACTACAGCCTAATTAAGGACAGTTAGTACTCATTAAAATTTAGGGGATGATGAATTTGAGACATAATTGGGAGTATAGTTTTAAGAAATTAAATTAACTGTTTTGTTTCTGGATCTTAATCTGTGAAATTGGGGATATACTAATCTGGTATAAGATAGAAATGATGTGAACTTATACCACAGGAACAATGTAACTATTCCTAGGAATATTGTAATGTTAAGAATACTTTGGGGCTATATTAACAATGAAATAAAAGTGAGAATATTCACATATAGGTAAGGAAAAATTGTGAATGTCTGTTTTTATGTCTTTAATATCAGTCAATAGAAATACAACTTTATTGAGAGCAATATAAGTTTTTGAAAAAGAGAAAGACATGATATTTCAGAAAAGAGAAAACTATGACCTACCAGAATTGAACCAGAGACTAGAAAGCTTAATATAATAGATCTATAGCAAGCAATGAGATTGGAGTTTTCTAACTAAAACAGCTCAAGTACATATGTATTCTCTACTGAGTTCTATGAAACCTTTGAAGAACTCAGCAACTCTCCACAAAACTATCCATAAAATAGAAAGTGAAGAAATAACACCAAGCTCATTTTATGAAGCTAGTATTACCCTGATACCAAAGCTGAATATGAATACAAGAACAGCAACAAATTATGAGCCACTGTCCCTGATCATGCATGCCACATGATTTTTTATTATTCTTTATACTTTTAGGTTGTAATATAATTATATACTTTCCTCCCTCCAAGATCTCCCATATATCCTTTCTTGATCTCTTTCAAACTCATGGCTCCTTTTTCCATTAATTGTTGCTCTGTGTGTGTGTGTGTGTGTGTTTCTAAGTACTTAACTACAACCTACTCCATATGTATAATGCATACATGTTTTCAGGGATGACCATTTGATATTGGATAACCAGTTGCTGTCCTCTCCATGGGGTGATGATTTTTCCCACATCCAGCATTCCTTAGTTGTCTGTAATATTTTGTATAGGGTTGAGGCCTCCTGGGTCTTCATCCTCCACATTAGCATGTATGCTGTTTTCCTTATTCAGATCATGTTTAGGCAATCATGTTGGTAAGACTATATGAATGTAGCACTTCTGTTATTACTAAGAGACACAATCTCACTGCAAACACCTTTTTCCTCTGCCTCTTAAAATCACTCAACCCCCTCTTCCACAAGTATCACTGAGCCTTAAATGTGGAGTTGTATTATAGATGTATCCATTAGGGCTGGACTCACAACTCTGCATTTTGAGTAGTTGTGGTTTTCTCTAATGGTCTTTGCCTGTTGCAAAGAGAATTTTCCTTGATGAGGACTGAGAACAACCTTTTTGTGGGGATAAGGACATATATTTAGAATGTATTGGGAATTATGCTAGTTTAGTAAAGTGGTAGTTGTAGGTTCTCAGATCCAGGACTTCACCAGCCCTGGTTAGTTGGCTAGGTTTCCAATGAAGAATTTGCAAACCAAATTCAAAAACATATTCTACCTTGTAGTTGTAACATAAAGTCTTGCTTCAATCAAAAGAGCTCTATGTTCATAGCATTTACTACTGTCATTAGGTAACTGAGTTAAATATTACGTAAAATGATGAAATATTGATTATGGAAGAAAAGACATTCGGAGTAGGCTGTTTCTTCACAGAATTGTTTCCTTGGCTATGCAGAAGCCTTTTCATTTCATGTAATCCAATTTATCAATTCTTGACACTATTTCTGAGCATGGCAAAGTCTTTTTCAGAAAGTCAATTCTTACCAGGACCAAATGGGCTTTATTTCAAGGATGCAAGGATTGCTCAACAACACAAATCAATAAATATAATGCATCTTATGACTACACTCAATGACTGAAATCACATAAATATCTCAATAGATGCAGAAAGGTCTTTGATGAAAACTAACATCCCCTATTGATAAAATCCCTGAAGAAAATAATAATAGAAGAAACATTGCTCAATATAGTAAGAGTATATATACCACATCTATAGTCAGCATTTACTCAATAGAGAAAACTCATGGATATTTTCACTACAATGAGGAATAAGACAAAAGGATATCTTCTTTCTCCACTCATCCATTGTTGTCACTGAAATGTTAACTAATAATAATACAAAAGAAATAAATTAAAGGCATATAAATAGGAAAGGAAGAAGTAAATTATTCTTATTAAAGATGATATGATCCTATATGTAAAAATTCAAAGATCCTACCAGAAAACTCTGAGCTGATTAACAAAGTGACAGTATACAGTATTAACATATAAAACAATAGTTTGCCTATATACTGATAACAAATCATCTGAAGAGGAAGTGAAGAAAATGAGCACTTTGATAATAACTGTAAAAAATGAAATAAAATAGGGTTGGAGAAAGTACTTGCTCAGTTGGTAAAGTACTTGCTGCACAGCATGAAGACATATTTGATCCCAGAATTCACTTAAAAATGATGAGCATGATGGCACACATGTGTTATCCCAATACTGGGAAGGTGGAATCAGGTAGAACCTGATTAGCCAGCCTAGCCAACTAGGCAGGATTGAGACCTTGCTTAAAAAAAAGCAGCGGGGTGAAGGGGATGCTGAAAAGGTGGCTCAATAGTTAAGGGTACTTACTCTTCTTGCAGAGGATTCAGGTTTGGTTCTCATCACCCCTGTAGTAAACAGACTCTCAGAGTCTCACAAATAGACATATAAGTACAAAATGAATTCTTTAAAAAAAAAAAATAACAAGAGGACAGCACCTGAGGAATGGCACCTAAAGTTGACCTCTGGCATCTCACACTCATGGACTGGCAAAATTAATATTGTGAAAACTACTGTGCTTCTAAAAGTCATGTTATGTTGCTAATTCTTATAAGTTGAAACATTCCCTCCTAGAAGAATGGAAAGTCATATGACTCAAAGTGCTACAAAACTCACAAGATTCTGGAACCTTATGAAACTTACCAGGCTTAGAGGGCTCAGAGGGTTACAGGATTTCCAGGGCCCTCTCCCAATTATAAAAACAGTGACTATTGAATAGAAAAGATTCTACATGGAGCTCCCTACAGCTAGTCAGGTAGCTGCTGTGGGATGCTCTGTATGCTATGAATATGTTTTGCTCTGATTGGTTGATAAATAAAACACTGATTGGCCAGTAGCTAGGCAGGAAGTATACGCAGGATAAACAGACACGAATTCTGGGAAGGGGAAGGCTGAGTCAGGAGATGCTAGCCCTGCAGTCCAGGGAGCAGCATGTAATGGCACACAGGTAAAGCCACTGAATACATGGCAACATATAGATTAGCAGAAATGGGCTAAGTTTAAGTGTAAGAGCTAGTAAGTGGTAG